AAAGGCCTATACATTCTCTAATTGTTTTTAGACATAAATACTTATTTTTATTAAGTTGTGGGTTTGGATATATATTTAGACATTCTCAAAGGCAACTTAGTGTAAAGGTTTAGATTTTTTTTTTTTTGAAATGTTGATTTGAAGTGTCAGTTTTTGTATTATTATTACTACAGTCAAACCTGAACACAGAGAAAGCATTTTGTTACACAAAACATTAAAATTCTATAAAAAATTTAACAAAAACGAACAGGAATGTTTTATCAGAGCTGAATCCTTCTGGGTCTGATCGGATTTCAACCTCTTGTTTCAGTTTTCTGACTCATTATGGCTATATGGTTATAGCCATACCAATTCATTTGAGTGTGTATAATTGTGTATGTGTGTGTGTGTTTGTCTGTGAGTGTATGTGTGTGTGTGAGTGGATGTCTGTTTTGCACTCTTGATGTTTTAGAGTTATAACCCCTTCCTTGCTGTCCACTTTTTTGCTGCATTGTTGAACTATTGCTTTTGTTTTACATATTTGCTGTGTTACAGTCACACCAGTTCATAGGTGTGTGTGTGTACGTGTGTGTGTATGTGTGAATGGATGTGTTGGTTTTGCACTCTTGATGTTTTTGAGTTTCACCCCATCATTGCTGTGTACTTTTTTTCTGCATTGTGGCAGATTTGTAGATTGCACACACAAAAATATGCTGAATTTTTGTGTTTTTGTCAGTTTCCCATTCATTTCCTATGGTTGGTCATTTTTGACCAAAGACCACAAGTGTGACTATTTTTTTTTACGACCACTTAGCCTGCTCGAATCAAGCCCTCAATTTTTTTGTGTGTTCACTTTCCAAATGCCATAAAAGTCACCAAGTTTCGTACCATTCCGATGAAGCTGTGATTTAAAAAAAATTCAAAACAGAATTTTGACCGAAGAGCACCAGAGGATTAAATATTGCGTGCTGAACATAATGAAATGCTGTCTTTTCATTTAGATTGATCCAAATGTGCTACAACCAGATGGAAAGAAGAAATATGTGAAGATTGTTGCTCAGTTTAGAGCATTCCATCGTGCAGAAAGAGTATTACCGGTGTCGTTCCGCTCTGGATACATCTTCATTCAGACTGATAAACCGGTTTACAACCCTGGAGACAATGGTCAGCTCTCACATCCTTGTCATACTGCTTATTTATAATGAACGTTGTTCGTTTTTTTCCCCTGATCACTGTCATTTTTCAGTGCGTTGCAGGGCTTTTGTGTCTGACACTGAATTCCGTGCTGCTGAGAGGACCATTTCTCTGGAGATTCAGGTGTGACTGTCACTGGCATTGACATAAACGCCATTACAGTATTTGCCACGAAATATTTAATTTTTCTGGAACAATGCTTTACGGTACAATTGGCACATGTTTCAGAATCCAGACGGTATTGCAGTACATGGTATTTCTAGAGCCAAATCAATCGATGGGATACTCTCTAACACCTACCCCCTCTCATCTGTGGTCAAGTATGCACACAGAACAGATATTATATATTATAAAATAATAATTGATTTGACAAAAAATGGTATTGATTTACCTGATACTTTGGATATATGGCTGCTGACTAAGTATCTTCTTTCTAGAGAGGGCAAGTGGAAAGTTGTTGCAAAGTTTGATCAGGGAAAAGAGAACATTTTCAGCCGAGAGTTTGAAGTCAAGAAATATGGTAAGTCCTTCATATTACCTGCAGATTCTGCTAGATGTTTCTCTGTTGGTCGGTTAACAGCATTTCTCCTTTCTCCCAAGTCCTCCCAGCGTTCAACGTCACTTTGACTCCAAAGACATCCCACCTCAGACTAGACGCAGAAAAGTTGGAGGTAGAAATAACAGCCAGGTGTGTGATCAATTTGTACCAAACTGTTCTGAATGACCTCAGTGTATTTGGACAAAATTACGGAACACTTTGAATTTGTATGGATTTTTTTTTCTTCTTTCCATTTTTACAATTTTATAATTAATGTAGGTACCTATTTTTGCTTAGATTCAATAACAAATATTTTATATTATGTAGTGCATTTCAGCTTTGAATATTTTAGTTTTGGATTGTTTGCATTTGTAAACTTACTTTATTCATGTCTACCATTTTGACAAATATTCTGTATTTTACATTAAAAATATGTACTATGTTAAAATTGTGTACTGGCTCTTTAAGAATCGCGACTGTGAAGTCAGGCGGTTGTGCGTTCTTTGGAATGCAGCGGAGTCACACAGTTTTCTTTACCGCATCCGTGATATTTAAGATTTAGGATTATATTTTGTTTCTTTAATTTTATTTGTTTGATTTATCTCTTAGGCAAGATTAAAGGAAGATATTTGACCAGATAACAGAGTACGTAGATTTCTTTATTGGACATGGAGCACAAAAATGTGCACTCAAAATTAATATTACTATTATTATTTTAAATTTTCTTTCTTTCTGTCTTTCTTTTAAATAAAGTAATACTTTTATTCAGCAAAGATAAATTAAATTAATCCAAACTGACAGTTAAGACGTCACAAGATTTCTATTTCAAATAAATACTGTTCTTTTGTACTTTCTGTTTATCAAAGAAATCAGCATATTAGCATGATTTCTGAAAAATCATGTGACACTGAAAACTGGAGTAAAGATGCTGTACAATTTTATAATTAATGTAGGTACCTATTTTTGCTTAGATTCAATAACAAATATTTTATATTATGTAGTGCATTTCAGCTTTGAATATTTTAGTTTTGGATTGTTTGCATTTGTAAACTTACTTTATTCATGTCTACCATTTTGACAAATATTCTGTATTTTACATTAAAAATATGTACTATGTTAAAATTGTGTACTGGCTCTTTAAGAATCGCGACTGTGAAGTCAGGCGGTTGTGCGTTCTTTGGAATGCAGCGGAGTCACACAGTTTTCTTTACCGCATCCGTGATATTTAAGATTTAGGATTATATTTTGTTTCTTTAATTTTATTTGTTTGATTTATCTCTTAGGCAAGATTAAAGGAAGATATTTGACCAGATAACAGAGTACGTAGATTTCTTTATTGGACATGGAGCACAAAAATGTGCACTCAAAATTAATATTACTATTATTATTTTAAATTTTCTTTCTTTCTGTCTTTCTTTTAAATAAAGTAATACTTTTATTCAGCAAAGATAAATTAAATTAATCCAAACTGACAGTTAAGACGTCACAAGATTTCTATTTCAAATAAATACTGTTCTTTTGTACTTTCTGTTTATCAAAGAAATCAGCATATTAGCATGATTTCTGAAAAATCATGTGACACTGAAAACTGGAGTAAAGATGCTGAAAATTCAGCTTTGCATCACAGGAATAAATTATATTTTAAAATGTGTAAAAATATTAAAGTTATTTTAAATTGCAAAAATATTTCACAATACAGTATTGCTGTTTTTACTGTATTTTTGATCAATTAAATGCAGCTTTTTGAATGCTAGTGTATTGAATTCTTACACTTGTTTTACTGAATTGCCAAATATTTTGAGGTCACCGTATGCATTTCTTCCAGGTATCTTTATGGTGAACCAGTGAAAGGTGTTGCATATGTGCTGTTTGGTATTGAAATTGATGGTGAAAAGAAGAGACTCACATCTATGAAGCAACTAAATGATGTAAGTTGTTAAACAAGAAAAAACTTTAGTTTAAGTACCTTAAATCAGCTTTATAGGACAAGACTCTTGTTACTCCATGTATTATTTTGCAGCTGAATGGAGGAAAAGTTAGTTTGACTATGGAAGAAATAAAGAAGGCCTATCTTGACACAAACAGCTTACTGGGGTCTTCTGTGTACGTCAAAGCATCAGTAATGACCATCTCAGGTGGGAAAATCATTGAAAAACAACTTAAAACCACTCACAATCCAATAGCAACTGCATAGCAACCCCTTGGCAACCACTCCAAACTCTTTAGTATGATTATTCTGAGTTTTTGTTTTGAAAAAAAACAACAACTCTGTCTCCTTTCTTCCCCTCAGGTAGCGACCTTGTGGAAGCAGAGAAATCTGGTATTAAAATTGTAATGTCACCATACATGCTCTCCATCAGAGACACACCAAAGTATTTCAAACCTGGCCTGCCATTAGCCATGACGGTAATTTTCATTTCTGTTGCGACAATTACTGCTTGAAGACATAAAGTGACACAGAAATGGAGAAATGCAGCAAAATTTCCTAGTTGCTCTTTTCCATAAAATTCAAGTGAATGGTGACCACAGGTTGTCAATCACTAAAACAGGTATCTCCAAACTCGGTCCTGGTGGGTCGGTGTCCTGCAGGTTTCCTCAACACACCTGCCTGGAAGTTTCTAGTATGCTAGTAAGACCTTGATTAGCTGGTTCAGGTGTGTTTAATTAGGGTTGGAGCTAAATTCTGCAGGACCAGGCCCTCCAGAACCGAGTTTGGAGACCCATGCCCTAAAAGGACAGTGTTCTTTTAATTTCATTTATATAGTGTAATAGAATTTATTAATATTTTCATTTTAAGGCTAGAAAAATTGCCATCATCTTAAAGTGGTTGATGTGCAAGCATTGCTCCTGGTTTGACCAGGAGCCGAACGCCAGTTTGTCCTCGTATAGTGCCCACAACCCGAGTTGGAGGCACCTGTCATGACCACCGTCCTTCTGGAGGTCAGTCCCAATGGGATGCCTGACTGAAACAGGCGAAAGTTTTTCCAAGGGGCCACAGTTCTGAAGCAGCGGTGGGTCACCCTGAAATGAAAACATAAGTCGCCAAACAAGGGAACGGTACATGGCCTTGGAGCCAATATTGGAGGGGCCGCATGTGAAGCAGGCCCAGAGGAATCACAGAGGATGCGGCAAGCAAACTCTTGAGGGGACGTGAAGTCCCAAGTTTGAATGACGTCGCTAGCCGGTGAATTGTCAGGTAGTGTTCCGGTGTAATCCATGCCCACATCTGGGCTGAATCGATAACTGTCCCCAGAAAGACAACTCACTGGATTTTTAATAGATTTTTGGCCCAAGCCGCTCCAGGTGGCTGAGCAGCAGCGACCTGTGAGCAATGAGTTCCTCTTCTGATCTGGCTAGTGTTGTCAAAAGACCCGGTATTTCGGTACCAAGTCGGTACTAAAAAAACGTTATGGTACCAGGTTTTTTAAAGTACCGGTGGTACCGAGTACCCGGTCAACCCGGTTCTTGATGCGCTATCCGAAAGGTGCGCAGTTGCGCTCTCTTCATAAAAGCACTGAGACGTGGCGACCTCAAAATGAGGAAACACATCAAACTAACAAAACACTTTAAAGACAGACACCCGGATCAAATGAAAGAGTTCAAGCTGGTAAGTTTCATTTAATTTTTTTATATTTAGATCAGTGTTTCCCATACATTGATTTATTTGTGGCGG